ATTATCAGTGATCTTATCAGTGAGCTTAAAGTTAGATCATTTGTTACGGTCAATGCTCTCTGTTATGCTGTATTTTTCGAATATTTTTGAGAAAATTTTGATCATTTCATCGAGAATGCCACGAAATCAGTGATTTTATCGGCTTTTATCAGTGGATTATCAGTGATCTTATCAGCTCTTATCAGTGATCTCATCAGTGCATTATCAGTGAGCTTAAAGCTAGATCATTTGTTACGGTCAGGTCAATACTCTCTGTTATGCTGTATTTTTCCGATATTTTTGAGAAAAATTTGATCATTTCATCGAGAATATCACCAAATCAGTGACCTGATCAGCTCTTATCAGTGCATTATCAGTGATCTTATCAGTGATTTTATCAGTGCATTATCAGTGAGCTTATCAAGCAGTCGCGACTCGCCACTCTTGTAACAGCGCCAAATTGAGCCTGAAATGTTGCCCACATTCTTGTTTTGCCAAACGAATCATTGCATTTTTGCTTTGGTTGAAGCATTTTCCGAAGCTGAAACCTGAAATTAATTTCAGGATGGCCGAAACTGCTAAAGCGCTTTTCAAGGAGATCGCACCAGCCCATAAACAGCCACACGGTAAGGTGACCGTGGTGGGTGTTGGCCAAGTGGGTATGGCTTGCGCGTACAGTATACTTCAGCAGGTTAGTAAAGCTATTTTAGGTGAAGCTAAAAATTTAATTTTTTAATTTTTTAAATTTTTTAAAAAATTTAAAAAATTAATTTTTAATTTTTTCAAAAAATTCCAGAATATTGCCAGTGAAATATGTCTGGTGGATGTGGTGCCGGATAAGCTGAAGGGTGAGATGATGGATCTGCAGCATGGCATGGCGTTCACAAGGCATTGCACGGTTAAGGCCGATACAGGTTGTTATCAGTCGTTATCACTCTCTTATCACTAGTGATAAGGCCTTATCACTTAATTTTATCAGTTCTGTTATCATTTATCAGTGGGCGATCGGCTGCTCTTATCAGTGCCTTATCAGTCGCTTTATAATCACTCAACCCCGCCCACCCTCAATTGACAGCCAACCGAATGGCAGACTGACTTTACGTGGATCTGCGGGATTTACCTGAGGATTTACCCGGGAATTCTGAGCTACCCGAGGATTTGGCTGACTTACCCAAGGTTTACTGCAGATTACCAGATCAGTGCCGGCTCCAAGGTGTGTGTGGTGACAGCCGGTGCGCGTCAACGTGAAGGCGAAAGTCGGCTGTCACTAGTGCAACGCAACGTCGAGATCTTCAAAGGCATCATACCAAACCTGGTCAAGTACTCACCAGACACGGTCATCATGGTGGTCTCGAACCCAGGTACGAGAGTTCCTGACACGATATTTTGGAAAAATTTTGGCAATTTTCCAAAATTTTCCAGTTTTCAATTTGGAAAATGAAAAAATTGGCTGGAATTTTGCCAAATTTTCCAAAATTTTCAGTTGATGTTCTCACGTATGTGGCTTGGAAGCTGTCCGGTCTGCCAATGGAGCGTGTCTTCGGAACGGGAACCAACTTGGATTCGGCTCGATTCAGATTCTTGCTCTCGGAGCGTTTACATATAGCGCCAAGCAGTTGCCATGGATGGATTATTGGAGAGCATGGCGATTCGAGTGGTAAGCACCAATTTTTTTAACCTGAAATTTGGTACCAAATGGGGGTAGCTCTTTATTTCGTGAAAAATTTGAAAATTTTGCAAGAAATTCACAGTTTGCACAAACAAATTTTGGCGAAACGCCTCTGTGAATTCGCACCAGTGCAATTTCAGGATGGCATTGTGTTTTGTGGAATTTTTTGAATTTTTAGTGCAATTTTAGGTTGACTGAATTTGTAATTTCAGGTGGCTACAGTGAATTTCAGGTCGATATTTTTGGATTTTTAAAATTTAAAATTTGAATTTCAGTAGCCGTTTGGTCGGGTGTTAACGTTGCCGGTGTACCGTTGAGTGAGGTCGTACCGGATCTGGGTGGGAAGACCGATAATGAACACTGGGAACAGGAGATCCACAAGAAAGTTGTCGATAGGTTGGATAATTTTTGAAATATTTATCCTAAAATTGATTTCAGGTCTCCATCTCAATTCAGGACACAACCTGAAATGCTCTAAAAATAATTCCCCCCGAATGAGTTTATCACCTTATCAGTGAAACTTATCACTTTATCAGTGCCTCAAAATTGCGGTGGAAACGAAATAATTATGTCAAAATTGATTTCAGGTCTCCAACAAAATTAGGGGGAAAACCTGAAATACTCTGAAAATAATTCCCCAGAATGAGTTTATCACCTTATCAGTGCTGCTTATCACCTTATCAGTGCTTAAAATTGCAGTGCATACGAAATCATCAAGCTGAAAGGCTATACGTCGTGGGCTATCGGTCTATCGGTGGCCACCATCGTGAACAGTATTCTTCGAAACAGTCGCAATGTATTCGCCCTGTCGACTAACGTTAACGTGGGTTTTGATTTTAATTTCAGGTTTCAATTTTAGGTTCTCCAAAAAAATTCGTGAAAAGAGACCTGAAATTAATTGGTGTGTGGTACTTGTAGGGTTTACACGGTATCAACGAGGATGTCTATCTGTCACTTCCGTGTGTTGTGGGCGAGAATGGCGTTACGCATGTGGTGAAACAGAATTTGAAACCAGACGAGGTTCGTCCTGATTTTTAGAATTTTTCTGTTGGCAAAGTTCCAGACCTAAAATTGAAATTGGCAAAGTTCCAGATTTGAAAAATCTTCACTCAATTTGTTTTTAATTATTTTGAATTTCAGGTCAAACAACTGCAGAAAT